AATGTCCGTACTGGTCCAACTTACGCGGACGGCTTTCGTGGTTGTAAGCCAACTATGTACCAAAAGAGAGATACACTTGTCTGCATGCTCGCACTTGTTGCGGGGGGATACACTTTTTGGTGGGGGTATCCAGTACTTCTACCTGCTTAGATTCTTAGGGAGAAAAGCATAAAAAACACAGAAAGACGTACTTGTGCCCGTTCGAGATACGTACATATAACCACGAGTCGAAGTAATGCTCCCGTAAATACTCTGAACGATCAATACCGTTCGTTCGGTCTGCTCGTATTTCTGAAAGAAATTTCAACAGTCTCTGCGGTGTGTAGTAGCGAAGGTGTGCATCTGAGCTGTCAATACGTCCTTCCGTCTGCCAAGCCCTTGCGCCGGGGCTCCCGCTCTGCTTGTTGCGCACTTCAGCAGCATTGATTGCATAAGATACCACACCCTCTGGACCGATCGTCAAAGCTTGATTGCTCTGCAGCATAACCAGAGCGGCGGTGCCGAACATGGCGTTGAATTAATCTCATCGAAATCTTTCCGAACCTGTGTGTATAATTTGATATTTTTGGCCTCCCATTCGTCGTGGAGGAATCGAGCTTTGAAATTTGGCCCCACAAGGGGGTGGTATCTTATGCCACCTCGTATACCGCTGCTGTGTCCGTGTGTGGCAGTTGCATCGAAATCAGCGGGTCCTCTTTTGGCCTCACCATATGTTTCCTCCTTCTTCCAGCCCGTCGTCTTCGAATCTCTCCGCCTGCTTCCTCGCCTGGCGGTTGTCGTACTGACGCGAAGGTCCCCGTCTCTCGTCTCTGCCCCTCTTCCCCATGCTATGGCTAGAGCTTGTGTGCGCAGGCGGTGCTCTCCAAAAGCCCGGTTGGTCGGGGGGTACGCAGAATACTCACTGAGACATCTATATTCTCAGCTGCGAAGCCCCGGAGATCAACCTGGGCGACGGGGCAGCAGCACCACCTTTACTGCTTAGGACAGAGAGGAGCGAAGCAAGATGATTAGCAATAGCATGGAGGTAGACTCGGGATACAATGGCGATCCTACGGCCGAACAGATAATGGAGCTCGATGCGGAGGAGGTGAGGGTGTGTGTGCTGCGGAGCGAGTGCGGAGAGAGAGGGGGGCGGTGCAACCGGGTTCCGACCCACCTGACTATTGACACACACTCTTGACGACATGCGAACCAGGATCAGACAACAACAACTTCTTATTTCTCCCGCGTGGCGACGTTGCAGGGCGCAGTGGTCGGGGGCAGAACCCTCTTGTTTCCTGATAGATACGACTTGTTTTCGCATACTTTCACGCACCCCGGGTGAAGTTTTTGGATACGAGGAACAGCAGTCATCGTTGAACCCGGGGTTGGGGGCGGGTTGTCTTCTAAACGCCACCGCATATTCATGTAGCGCCGCCTCTCGCCGCCGCAGGCCAAGTCGGAGGGACAAGCGAGCAAAGTAACAGCAGCCGTTTGCTGAAAGTGGATATTCATTTGCGCGTCGGTCATTGTTTGAATCATCCGTCTCCTTGTGTGGGGCCTGTTTGCAGGTGACAGCGATCGAAACAATCCTCGTCGGAAACTCTCGGCTCAACTACAGCTGTGAGACCGCCTCAAAGAGCCAACGAGCCCGCGGGACTGAACACAACCACAATATTCTCTCTTCTCCCCAAGCTCGTGTCTCCCGGACTGGCCTCCGTGCTATTTCTGTCAAAGACGGGTGCCAGCAGAGTCGCAGCCTGGGATCTCAATACTAAACTCTACAGGGAGTGTATGTAAACGGTCCAAGTCGGACCCCGTAAGACTAGAAGTACAACCTCAACTCCCTCCGCAAGGAACCATCCATGTGAACAAGAGAGGAAACGAGAGGGGAGAGCCGTCGCCTCCGTTCCACTATTATCCGACTAGATTCGATGTGAGGGCAGAGCCACACAACAGTACAGGCCGGCGGCGCGCTCGAGCTGAAGCTCCGAGGGGTCGCGTTACTTGAGGTTCAATGTTCTGGGCGAGCTCGGCGCCCGCTGTATTTAACTCTGCTGAAACTAAGAAAGATCAACCTTTGTAGATACATGAGCGTTCTGGATAAAACCCACAATGGTTGACCAACAGAAGGCGTCCTCTGCGCCAGTTGTATCAATACAGATGTTAGAAGGCACAGCACTGAGGAAACACGCCCGTTTGTTTTTTTTTCGACACCGACAACAACAAGGACAACAACAACAACGACTACTTCACTCTCTGTCCGTCCCTGTGATAGCATCCCGCAAGAGCCGAAAAATGTGTTGATCGTGTTTTTTACCCCCGTCTCGCATGGCAGCTCCCGCCCCCGCTCTCCCCCTCGCATGCGGCTCCCCGAAGACAGTCGGGACGTCTGTGTGTGGCATGAATAAGAAAACTTGCCCTTAGAAATGGCACAAAGATACATGAGATGTACAGCAGAGGTGTCGTGTCACCTCCTGGGCTCATCTTGGGCCTCGTGAACTTGCACGTAAGCGTAGTTGAGAGTTGCCTACATACATCAAGGCAGCGGCGTCGTGACCCTGGTCCTGATATATGTAGGCCGATCGGGGGGGGGACTTTGCATAAGGAGTCAAAAGTGCAGTTTTTGGGACCGCCTTCGCGGGAAATTCAGTAGGGGGGGGGGCGGGGGGGGGGGGGGGGGG